CATATGCAGAGGTCCCTCTCAAGAGGTTGTGGGGCTTGTGTTGCTGGGACCATGCACCAACATGAGGGAGGCAGTCCTGGCAGGCACTCCACCAGCCACAGGAACAGCTGTATAGACAACGCTGAGGGCTCTGGACACACCACAGGGCATGTAATTGGCACACTCCTACTCAGCGCTCGTGCCCTGGGGAGTGCAAAAAACACAAGACAAGTGCTAAGTTAAAGTACTTGCTCTTCCATGGGCTGGAAGATGTTCTTCAACCCACAGACAGAAGCTCATGACAAAAGGTAACGACTGACAGCATTCCTTCAAATCAGGTGAGAAGATGTCAAAGTGGCAATTAAAAGTGCAGTGTTTAAAGAAAAGAGACAAATGAGTTGAACAGAATCACCAATTTGCATTTCAGCATTGTTACATGTCTCTTGATTAGAACGGATGTCTCTCTAATCTGTGCAAAACAGAAGAGGACCTGGGAGGTCTGAAATACTGGCTCATCCACAAATACAACCAACAATTCCCATCTTCTGACAGCAAATCCACCACCTCAGACTGCACCAAACCACCTGGTAGTTCTGGGTCCTGTCCTGCAAGGCAGGGCTTACTCTGCAGTGTCCAAAGCTCAGATGAAATCATTTTCTCCTCCCTACAGCTGCAAACACCGTGTTTAACTCACCACGCACCTACAGTCCCCAGGAAATGCAAGCCTCTCATTCTCTTTGCCACATGCTTTGTAGGTACACTTTAGCCCCTCAAAATCCCCATTTAGTTAATTTTGCTCACAGAGAAAAGACTCCATCAGTCATCAGAGTTTGGTAAGCTATTTAATGGCAAGCTCATGGTGTAATGACACTGCTAGATTTGATGCCTCCGAGGTCACAGAGGAAGGAGGATCAGAAGAAAGGCAGGGCTCCACTGAAGGCTTACACCTTTTAAAGCATTGAACAAAAGGGCAACATCTTTTGGTGACTCATTTCACAGCTTCGGAGTCCCAAAGACAGATCTTCCAGCCAGAAAAATGGTGGAAAGCACAGCCTTTGCATGGCATGGCGCAACATAATTTCTGCTTGACGTGTTGAGGTCTGACTGGTCCCTGCATTAGTAAAGGAAAACTTGACAACAAAAAAAAAACTGCATTGACTGAAATCCAGAGCTGATGTTTCCACCACCACCCCCGAAGATGAAAGCAGACATCCCTTACATGCAGTGTTACCACTGATCTTTGCCTACATGAGCAACAGCATGTCGGAACAGAAAGGGAATTTCAAAGTTCAATGTATTTTACATTAAATCAGTGAGCTTTACTGTAGTCAGCAGTAACTAGTTCAAAGAAGTTTTTTCTGCAGACAAATGAACGCCCTTTTTGTTAATCTGTATATTTGTTTCTGACCAAGCTCATACTGACAGTGCAGTGCTACACGGCTGTGTAGAAACTTGGGTTTGCAATAATGCAGATGCGCCTTTATGGATTGTCTGTCTTTAAAAAAAAAAATCAGCAATGAGAAAAAAGTCAAATGTAGAGCATGTAAAGGATACTTTGGCTCACTGAACAGGTGACTGTGGGTAAGTGGTTTCCTTTGTAAACCTGCCACAGACATCAGATACCAACAAGGCAACTAAGTAAGTCTCAGAAGAAGTCCGATAAAAACCCAAGGCGACAGCGTCTGCCCTCAAGAGTCTTTCCTATCAGAGGTAAGGAACAAATTTAAGGAATCTCTTTATTTTAGTATCTGCCTTGGAAGTGATGTCCCTGAGCCTTCCGCTCCATGGTGACTGCAGGGATCACCTCAAGCTCAGCCTGTTACAGGGTCTAGGAGCCACTGCCCTGAGTCACTTCTGCCTGGCTGTCACGTGAAGGTTTCCCAGCTGCAGCTGGCTGCAGAGACAGGCTGCCGGGGAGCAGGGGAGATCCTGCCAGAATTAAAGAGATAAAACAAAGCATTTCCCTCTGCTCAGCGATTTACAGAAAGGGGCATCCAGCTAGAGCCCCTGAAGGGATCCTTCCCAATTTCCCATGTCCTGTGGCCAGACCGAAACCTGCCAGCGCTGAGAAAGAGATCTGCAGGCTGGGCCAGGCTCCCCAGTGACTGGCAGCCAGAGAGGTCTCATTTTCTGGATGCACAGCTTGGAAAGCCTCAGTGGGTCATCATTTTCAGAGACTGGATTATTTAGCTAGGCATCACTCCCTGTGGAAAGATCTGGGGTTTGGCACCTAAAATGACTGCTCTCTTCTGCATAACCCCTGTCCAGCATAGACCACTCATGGGTCCTCAAGGGATAACACATCTCCCATGCCACCTCATCCCCCTGTGAGAAGGTGCTGCCTTGTGCAGAAAGGACCACACAGCTCGGTAACACACTGTGCTGAACTGCAGCTCTCACTGATGCACCTGGCTGCAAGCTGTGGGAGGTAAGAGGTGTTTCTCTCCCCCTTCCTCTGCTTCCCCTCTTCTGAGAGTGGGAATTTCTGAGAACAAAGTGGTAAGGATGGACACGAGGGAAGGATGGACGTGGAGTAAGGATGGACACAGGGTAAAGGTGGACACAAGGTAAGGATGGATGACGCAGTAACCTCGCCTCCTGCAACAGCTAAAGCTGACTATGAGTAAAATAGCCATGGACTTCAGCCCTGGATCCCAGTGAAAGGTCAGGAAACATGCTGAAAGAGGCTGGGAATCTGCCCTGTATGGCAGCTTTTCAAAGCAACGTCCATAATATTATTGCAATCACTTTTACTGTCACAGTCTCATGTCCCACCTTGTAGAAGGGGAAAGGGCAGTTACCTACTAAGCAATGCTGTAGCAGAAACTCCTCCCTGTTGCCCCCAGACACCGTTTCACACAGCACACCTTACATGGGACACGGTGCCAAGATGCAGCAGTTAGCGTGCAGGTCACTGATGCAGGAAAACTAACTCTGGCTATTCCTATCAAAAGGGGCATTCTTACAAGCACGCGACTTTCAAAGGCACAGCACTATGCACAGAGGGAAACTGCCTGGAAAACAGTCCAGAGCAGGGCAGGAGGTAGAGCTGAAGTCTGGCTGCTCAGGGGTGTGCTTTCCCCACATTTCTGTGAGGGAACATTCTGCCAATTTTTTTCTCTCATGAGCAAGTCCTTTTAAGAGATGTTACTGTGCACCTAATAAAGCAGCTTCCTGCTCCCTGACTGCTGCTCCTACCTACTCACACGATATCATAAATAATAAAGTTGGGGAAGAGAGGAGAAGGCAGCTTTTTAGTTTGCCTTTTCTCCATTCCTTCCTCTCTCAACCATCTCAATGCATTCATCAGGCAGGACACTAATGGAAAAACACAACCAAGCTCAAGACCCCAGTAATGTCCAGAGCAGTTTTTTTATAAACTGCATAGGTTCAATAAGCAGATACTTGGCAGGATGGTTTGGGCTGTCTCAGAAATCTCAGCATCTCCCTGAAAGGGACCCTTCTCACTCTTGCCCCTGCTACCCAAACAAGTTGTTACATTTCTGAAGTCTACTCTTCCCTCTGGCATCCCATCTATTTCTCATCCCCCAAGCAGCACTCTGCTCATTGCATTCATGCAACTCATATTCAGAAGTGCCAGTTCTGCAAGAGGCTCTGCTCTGGTGTATTTATATTTAGCTAGAGCATGAAATGCCTATGAGAGAAGGGCGAGGGAAAAAGGAGACTCTTCTGTGTCCTTTCACTAATGGTTTGCTTTGAGGATAGGCAATGATAATGCATACCTCTTTTCACCCACAGATCTAAAAGCGCTGTATACACTGGTGGGCAAATAATAATAATAAAAAAAAGCCTTTTACAAAAGGCTTAAGGTGAGACTTTCAAAGGGGGTACCCTGCTCCCACTGAATTTCATGGAGGCCTGGATGCATAACTGGAGGCCTGCCTCGAATTCCCAGCCACCGAGATGCACCCGAAGCTCAGGGCAAGGCAGTGGCAGAGCTCTGAATCCACATCTTCTCACTGAGTCCCCAGGCTTGCAAGCATTTATGCCTGTGTTCGCAAATCTTGTGTTTCAGTCTGGCAGCCTAGCCACTGGGTCATGCGACCCCTGGTTAATTATCAAATGGCTACTAACCTCAGTATGTGGTGGGAGTGAGGGAAAAATAAACTACAAATAAAATATAAAAATACTTTGTAATACAACTAAACCAGTTCCACATCCCTTGCATCGTTTGGTAAGTATGGAACAAGTAACACGGTAATACAGAAATGTATTTGGTCAAAGTAAGCAATCAATATTTTTTGATAAAATACATTCTATATTAATGCTCATTCACATTTAATACACATGTAAATTAAATTTTCTATGTATAAAATTCCAGTTTATTCTCAGTGCTGCCTGGTCATGCTTCAGTTCAGCAGCAGGGCTCAACACATTCGGCTCCCAGCAAAGTGAGAGGGGACAAGAGTGCTCAGCTTTCTGCAGGACCAAGCCCCACACATCCCCTGGAGCGCCCAGTCCTGCAGGTCCCGTTTGAACAAAATCTCGCTGGCTTCAGTGGGAATTTTGCAGGGGTGAGCACTGCAGAAGGGCTCCCCGGCTGTCCAGCACTTGCAGTCTGCTGTGGAAGTCACCCAAATGGCATATGGCATTCCAAAAAAATAGTGAGTTAGTGAATACAGAAAATAATATATCTACATAATTTACAGTGTTATGTTTACTTGCAACCGTATTAATGCTAAACCGCCCATTAACAATTCAATCAATATGCAGAGAAAGGTAGCAGAGCACAGTACATATTACAACCTCCTGTATGCAATTACAAGCGTTGGACCTCACAGTCTTTCCTCATTTCATGAATTCCTGCCTATGCCGCTGCCACCCAGAGCCCAATTCTCTACTGAGCCTTGTGGAGTCAATCCTTCACAGCACTTCAGCCAATTCAGATTGCATCCTCACCGCGGCCACAGGCCCCTAACACTGTGCCAGGCACCTTCAACTGCAGGTCCTCAGCTACCACCCACGTCCACCCCTGCGCCCTCCCCTCTGTTGTGCCGGCACTCATCTTGTGCAGCGACGCGCTGAACCAGACGGTGGGATTGATCCAGCTGGAAAACTGCCTGTCTGTAAAAAGGCAGAGGGTTATTTCCCAGTCAGACCGACCCCGCAGCCCAGCTCACGACGCAGCCGTGCCCGGGGCTCGTTTGGTGTGCGTGTGGGTGCGTGCACATGCGTGTCGCTGCCGGCCACCTGCACCTAAGCAAAATGGGTGCAAGTGGCTAGCAAACCTGAACGGCAGGACTTTGCCTTCAGCTTGCGCTACTGCAAATTATGTCTTGCATTACATAACAGCAGAGGAAAGTCAGCCCCAAAAGATCTACTCGTATGAGCCGCAGCCAAAAGACTGGATGCTATGAAGAGAAAGGTTCTCCCAAAGCAAGGCTCTATTTAAGGTTATGGCATCTGTTTTAGCTGGAGAGGAAAGAAAAACTTAGGGACTTAAAGCAGGGATGGAAACCACTGGTCTTACATTTTATTTTAGTAAGCAAAAAGCCTATTGCTGCTGTACAGTGTTATACAATGAACTGCCACGGTTCTCACGTCACTAGTCCATAGAAAATGTGCTGCGACTACCATGTTTATGCCTGCATGCCGAAAGAATGTACACAGTTGCATTAAGCTCTGTTTCTCTTCCACTTTTTTTCATATTCTTAAACTCCAACTTTTACAGTGTTGCAGACACTTCTGTGCATACTTCAGGTATGACACACCGTCCTGGTTATGGAAGGTCTTTCCCCAGATTGGAAAAATCAAGTGCTATGCATTTCTCAAGCCATCATCAGAAATGTAAACCACCAAGCAAACTTGCTCTCTTAAGTAACCTTGAAAAAAAAAAGCCTTTAAAAAATCTATTGAAAAGGAGACATCGCTAACAACAGGGTTTTCAAAATGGTGCGAGTTGTTTCTAGGAGTTGTCCAAGAGTGAGTTGTCACTCACTTTTTGTTTTTATAAAGCTAATTCTGTATAAAAGGGCTTTTGAAGCATGTGACCTTCATTTCACGATTTTTAAAAAATTGGAAAAAAGGAGTAAATTTAGAAACATTTTGCTCAGTTATGGAAAACAGCTGTATTACAACAGAATCCCCTTTGCTTCTTATATTTTCAGTACAAAAGGCAAGTAAATAAAGAGACCCTGCATCTTCACAGTCTGACACTTATCCGAGTCACTTAAATCCATGCAAAATTGGTATAAAATACAACGGGTCTTCTTCTCCTTTATACCAAGACCCCACCAAATCCCTCTGGGGAGCGAGTCCCCAGCTAAGTAAAACCTCACTAGTTTTTGTATCAGCCAAAGTAGTAGTATTTTAGCTCCCCTCCAGCGAGGTGTAACTGTCCAGACTAGCTCAAAGGCCCAGGGAGGGGAACATATCCAGCATAATTTCAAGAGCCAGGTGCTGGTTTATACCCCTATGGCTTCAAAGTTAAGTTGCACTTCAATTCACAATGCTGTGAGGTTTGAGTAATAATTTAGCAGTGTATTAAAAACAGCAAAGCTTAAAGTTGGTTTTCATGCAGAAGTGAGATAGGCAATGGCTATTTTTTAATTGATTTGTACGAAAGCAGCATTTGGCTTTGGATCAAATGGTGTTGGAGAACCAGGGTTGGTTATAATGTGTACTGCTGATACTAATTACTCTCAGTTATTAATCCAGCACTTGTAAACTTGGGTGTCAGTAAAACAACACTAATACGTCTGACACCAATACTCCCCTGGACTTCCCACTTTCCATTAATTTTGTTAAGCCTTCACGTGCACTTCTGCAGTACCAACCATATTAAACTAGTGTTTTTCAGGAGAAATCTCTCCAAGTTTGGTACTTTGTCAAAAACCATAGCTGTTGAACTAAAAAGAAAAGCGCAAGTTGCGTTTGCTCTCTGCGCTGGTTTCCTCGGAAAGGTCACCGACGAGGACTCAGCACTCTCACCACATGCTTCCTACATTCTCAGTACTCTACATTCATGTCAGTGAACGCCACTCCCGAACATAAATCGAAGAGACAAGTCAGTGACAAAACTACTTCTAGACTGATAATGGCAGAATGCTACCAAGACAACTCCATAGAAAACCCACTGAAGCAGGAGCAAAATTCAGGTCACTTCTTAGCAAAGCTTATCACAGATTTTTTTTTTTTCTTTTTTAAACCATTTTGTAAAACTTTTATCCTGGGAGCCAGATATCCCCATGTGATGTATGAATTCAAACAGGCTAACGTGGGACCACCTGACCCCACCTGGTACCAAAGGCTTCCAAATTTTTTTAGCTTCTCAGAAGATCACTGCTGACTGACACCCATCTGTTGGTGATCGGCTTCTGGTTCCTCTTCTTCCGCGTCTGCGTTATATTCTTCAAATGCATCATCATCAACATCTGGAAGCCCAAGTAACTACAAAGAAGAGAAAATACTGTGTAACAGCGAATTACCCACTCATGCAGCTTCGCTGCAAATCTTCACACAATACCTAGGTGCCACTTCTTGAAAACCTCAAACCCTGGAATAATAGTATTGCATAACGATCTCGACACTCTTTCTCTCCCTCCTGTGATAAATATTTGAAAATCCATCCTCACACCAAATTAAGTGCTCAGAGACCAGGACATAAATAAAACCAAAGCAAAGGACCTGCAAAAAGCTTCACCTTCTTCCCTGAGGTCATATCACAAATTGTTGAGTGTTTACACTTGGCAGTGGTTTAACTTCAGAAAGAACCATGATAGTACTGTAGCAGTAGTTATCTCGGTTTAAGACTGTGTTCAGCAACCCTATAAAAGCCAAAGAAGAAAGCATTCTCATGCAGAACTGGCTAATATGGAGTAGGCAAGGAGTCCCTAAAAACCTAAAGATCCCACCATGTTCAGTGCTTCTCTTGAACCCTTCAATCCATCACACCAGAAGCCCTGCATGCTGGGTGAAGCCCTCGCAGTGAGAAATACTGTGTATTCAACTCAAAATTGTCCAAGTCCCTCTAAATTTCTGCAAATTAGATTTGGGCTTGTGAAGAACTGCCAGTCCATCTTCCTTGGACAATGTCTGGAGGCTTCCACCTGATGGCTTTTATCACTGCAATGGCACTTGTTTGCTACAGGAAAAGGAGTAAACAGCAACGTTTGAACTTTTCCCCTTTCCTCCAAAAGGTTGCCAAGCCAACAGAAGTCAGGAAGACAGATAAACCAAATAATAGTCAAAATAATGCATCTGTTGTGGAAATCTCATATTAGAAGCCTACACGAGCAGCTATTAATAGCCACAAAGCAAAATTGTATGCCAGGCATTATTGGGAATACCATGTATTTAGCTTGCCAGGGCTGGAAGAGCAGCACAGATGCATGCAACATCCTGTTTGGAGAGTGACGCAGCTGTTAGCTCTCGAAAGAGGCAAAGCCCAGAAAAATCGGGAAGAGGGTGACACTCGCTAGGTGGTAGCATGAAAATGAGAAGGCTGTGACGAGGCAGATTTTTAGGGACCTAAATTAATTTAGTCTGTGATCAACATTCAAAATTATTCAGTGGACACAAATACAATGCACAGAATTAGCCTCTGGGTCCAATGAAGCTTGTATTCCCCACTGTTACTGGAAGAAAACCAGTTTTTTAGTTACAGGGTTTCTTCGGCAGGGAAATGGAAGGAGAATTTGCTGACTAAACCCCCTCCTTCGCATTTTAAAAATATTTACAGAGAGACCCCAAGCTGAAAATGTTTTCTGAGCAGAACAAAGAGTAAATATTCCTATGCATACATATTTTTCAAATCAAATGCTTAGCTGAACATGAAGCTACTTGGTTCATTTTCAGGATGTGGGGGTTTTGTTTCATATTGAAGCTACAACTAAAACACTCAGGTTTTAAAATGCAGAAGTGAGGCCTCTAGATTTTCTTATCCACCAGTATTATTTTTGCTAAACTGATTTGGTGTATTCAAAGTAAACATGAGTGTTGTACTGCTCTGTTTATATCACCCAGCAGAAAGAGCTTTGATCACATTTTTTTTGCTCAGCTCTGATTACAATCCCTCCTTGATTTGCAGGGAAATGAGCCACGTGAGTCTTCATTTTATGGGATACCGTAAGCCTTTCCCATGCAAAATTAGCACAGAAAACACAACATACACCAAGAGAACTGCAAAGACACACACAATCCTGAAGGATGGGGAGCACACCCTGCTTTTCACACATCCCCTCTCCCTTCGCCCTTGGGACACCCAGCTCTCCTCTCCCTGGTGCAGCATAAATCAAAGAGTGATGCTGCTGACGTTAGCGGTTTTATGGAGTGTAGGAAGGATGGGGATGGGATGGGATGGGATGTTCCTCCAAAAGAGGCACAGTTTTGTTCTCTCACGGACACTTTAGGATATTCCAAGGCACCAAGGACCTCAACCATGCAGGTCCTGCTTTTAGGCGCAGGTCCTGCTTTTAGGGGTCACATTTCATTGCTTCCCACAGGACTATGGTCCCTCACCACTGTTAACCCCTTACTGCTCTCCAGACTGCAGTGACAAATCAGCCCACACCCTGACCCCAAGGATGGAGGATCAGGGTCCAAAGTGCAGGGAGCTCTACAAACATTGGGTCAAAACAGAAGGAGGGTGTATAAAAGATGAAGACAAAATAAGATTATGAAGGTGGCCTGAGTTGACCCTAGACCAACTCCCACCTTGTCTTTTTTCAAACACACTAGTTTTTGCTTCTAGTCCATATCTACTTCTTATATTAAAGTATCAGCTTTATGGTAGACTTGAAAGGACTTTAATGGAGAGCGAAAACAAGGAGGAAAGAGGTAAAACAGGAAAAGGGTGTAGAAAGAGAGAGCTGATCCATCAGCCAAACAGCCAAGGGGAACAAAACTGCCAGGTGGGGATGTGTGGCAAGAAGGAGGACAGGAGGGTGGTGAGGAGGGAGGGCGACCAGCAGCAGCACCGCCTGAACTACATCTCTTTACTCCTGCTGGCCAAACTACCCATCTGGAGGCAAAGGAGAGGTCACTGGGATGTGTATGAATTCAATGAATACGGGATAAGTGGCTTACACTGCAGACTCCCCAGTTCAGATGTAGGCTTTTTAGGCTGAAGGTGAGCTCAATCAGGGAGCCCTGGAATTTGCTGCTGAACTGTAGGACTCATGTTTTGGTTCTCTGCAAACTCTGCCAGTTGGTGCAACGTTCCTCAGGCATTTTTTATTTTTTATTTGTCTTTCTTGTCTTAACTATTTTGAAATGCCCTGATTTCATACAAATAACCTAGTACTTTTAAGTTGCAAACTCACGAAAGCAGAGTGACATTGCCTCCTACCAAAAGCTGACACACAAACACACTGAAAAATAAGCCAAGTACAAGACCAAGCTTTAGTGGTCCACATGATGCTACACTAGAGATAACATGGTTCTGTTGAATCCCAGTGTGAAGGGCTTAGTCTCCAGGCAGATGTGCTTACAGGCACCAGCATGGACACCGCTGGCACCAGAGAGACAAAGGCATCAGAGGAGATGAGATGCTCTGAGGCAAATAGTGGTATTTGAGCCCAGTGCTATTGATATTATTTCATGTACCTGCATGGTGTCTGGCACTTTTGGATGCTCCCTAAGTGGATAATAAGGCAGATGACAGAGTTTTGTGGAAACCAATGCAGGAAGGCAGTAATGGGCAGAGACAACATACCCCCCACCACCTTCAGCAAAGAAACAGCTTGACCTTGTCTAGAGCAGGATTTAGAGATGCGGTTTAGCTGTCGAGGGTTAACCGACACTTTTTGAAAGCCTTGTCTAAATAAATATCCTGCCCTGGCACTGTGTTTATGCCCATGAATCTTAAGGGAGAGATGCCTGAGAGCAGTGGAGGCTGGTGAGCAGCCTCCAGACCACCCTCCTTGCCTCCTGCACCCAGGGAAGAGCGGCAAGCAGAGGGAAATCTCTGTCTCTCACTGAGAGGGATGCCAACTGCTAGGCATCCCTGCTCTCACCACCTCCGAAACATGGGGCCCAGCAGCGTGAGCAGCCAGTCCCTTCCCATGCCGCAAGCCCCATGGTAAGCCTGCAGAGACACGGCTGGGCTGTTACCATGAATGTGCAGAGCAGGCTGAGCTGCGTTAGCAGGCAAAAATCGGTCTGGGAGCCCTTGGTTAAGGGAGGGCAGGTGCTCATGCCATGCAGGAGGGCAGATGCTTGTGCCATGCAGGAGGGCATGGAGAGCTGCAGGTGCACCGCTGGTGTCTCCTTCTAAACATTTCCCTTTGAAGGACCCTGACAAAGACTTTGAAAACTGTTTAATAATCTTGGATGTCCAGCTGAAAATACTGAAATGGAAAAGACTTTCAGAAGGTGCTTACCAAGCACATACTAAAAACCTGGCCCCTCCTCAGTGTCTCAGATTGAGTAGCCAGGACCATCAGACACTTCAGAAGAGGCCAGTCTGACCTTCAGCAGCAATTTTTCCTAAACTGCCATTTCTCAAACTGAAATTTGCCAAACTGGTCTCTGACAGCAGACTTGGTTGGGATAGTGGAGAAGAAATGCCCTGCAAATGCACTGTTACCTCCAAGCTGACAGCAAGGTGGTTTTATTAGCAAGACAGGTCCAGCAGAGAAAGGATGGGGGACAGCACAAAGTAATGCCAAGGAAATTATTTTCCAATACTGATGAAAAATGGTTTTGTTCTTGCAAAGGCCTGAGGGTGCAAAATAACTGTTTCCATACATCTATGGTAACACCCTTCACTTTTAAAAATCTATCCTACCATGCATGTGCTATTTTTAATTACAATAAGGGAAAAATGTCAACACATTCCTTATTAGACTTGTCTACACACAACCATCCTTCAAATGATAAACCCGGTTTTGTTACACTGATGCAAATCTCTCAATATTAGGTCAAAGGAGAATCTGAGAAACTTAATCTTTGTGGTACATCCAAGAGAAAATGAAGAAGCACTTGACTACAGTCTGCAAGAGGTCTCTGACAATTGAGGATGCTGGTTTTGAGCAGACAAAAGCACAATGAAATTCAACAGTTAGGAGGCAAAACTAGAAGAATGCAGATTGTAAATAAAAGTTTTTCACAGGAGCGTAACTAATGATGAGAAGAAAAAGTGCCCAGTAGTGCTGTATCCTTTAAGTCACCTGAAGACTTTACATCAAGACTGGATGTCTTTGGAAAAGATCCACTCCAGCTCAACCACAATTTATGTGCTCAGTGGTAGGAATCATGGGGTGAAATGTGATGTATTAATGAAAGGCCCAGACTAAATGAGCATAATGGCTCCCCTTGCTTTGAACCTTTTTATTCTGAAGAGTAGCTTAACTTGGTTTGACTGAAGCCAATTTCTCAGCAACTTAAGCTATGCTGAAATAAATGTGGTTTAAATGAAATAAGTGATCTGTACCAATTTAATTAAGTCTTTTTGAAGTCCTCTTTAGTTAACCAATGGAAGTTTCTCCTCAAAGACACAGCTTTTCTGAGCAGGAGAAAACAGCTATGAAGATCCAACTGCTGAATACTGTTCTGGGAAACATATTTATATTTTTGTATGTTTTCACGATTACAAGCAGCTGTACTGATGGATCAGATTTCCAGTCCTTTCTAAGAAAAGTGTGCATCTGTTCTATTTATTTCCAGTCTCTCAAAGGATTCTTTAAAATGATGCTCTTTTATGTCGACCAGCTGCGGCAGTCTGCAGCAAGGCAATGCAAGGGTGTAACGCAGGGAGGCCGGTGTTTTCATATCGGCACTCCAGGCCCTCATTTTCACTCTAAATACTTGGGATACATTTTCAGTCTTCTCGATTAGTCAGCCAGAAAAAGAGAGGAGGGAAAAAGGTCTATATTTTCAGCTGAGTTTAAAAATGTCCATTGGTCAGCTTTCCCATGGACATCACGGGACCGTGGCTCTGGCAACAAACCTCTGCTCTGCTTTGCACCAGCCCCTTACCCAGCCCAAGGCTCTCAAAAGGAGAGGCTGTGCAACAGGGAGGATTTGGCAAAAATGAAGGACAACAGCCGGCCTAAGTCACCTCACTGACGCAACCCGGGCTTTGACCAAAATCTTAGTGTTAAACAAGGACAGAGAAAGCTGAGTAGCAGCAAACCAGAAAAATACACACCACCACCACCACCCCCCCCCCGCCAAAACCCAGCTTCTGTTCCAACCTCTTCTCAGTGACCAAACTGGCATTTGCAAATACCAAGTGGCAACCATCCCGAGAGAAAAATCTGGACGACCTGGGGGAAAAAAAACCAACCCTAAAATAAAAAAAAACCACTCTCAGGAGAAACCGTATTTCCAGCTTCCCAGAGGTTTACTCTCGCTACTCAGATCCTTGCAAAACTCCCCAATTCCAGTGCCAGGACATAACTCTGCCACAAAGTCCCGCAGCGCTGAGTCGCATCCCGTTCCTCGGAGTCAGCGCTGCATCAGCAGGATGAGAGCCCCGGCGCAGCTGGGGAGCTGGTGCCACCGGCTGCTGCACCAGTTGGGCTCCCACCCTGCCCAGGAATCTCATCCTCTCAAACACAGAAATGGAAATAAAAAGGCAGCTGGCTTCCAAGAAACAATTTCCAATTGCCTGATAGTAGCTTATGTGCTAACATCCCTGTGCCCATGCAGCTGACTGGAGATGTAAGTCCCTGCAGAAGAAAAACTGCCTTGCTCCATCCAGTGCTATCCTATTAAAAGTCACCAGTAAATGTCAATGTTTAGAAGTAAAAAGAGGCACTTACGGGTCTGAAGGATTTGAAGACTTTTTCCAGTATTTCATGGAGTGTCTTCTTCCCACAGGAGGAGATGTAATCCTGTGCAAGCTGCAGAAAAGGTAAGCAGTCCTCACTTTCGCTCCACACATGCTGAAAGCCAACAGCAATACAAGAAAAGAAAAGGCATTAACAGGAATTCACGCTGGCCTTTCCACGTGATTTTATAAGGTGACATGTTGTAAACATCTGCCAAACTACACTGGGCCGCCTGCTGTTCAGACCCACAATGGGGACGGGCACTGCAGGCTGTTTCAGAAGCCATGCTTCTGAGGAGAAACCTTGATTTTATTAATATGATGCATCAGAAAGCAGGGAAATCGATCCAGAAGAGAATGCAGCCTTATGACTGCACCAGCAACGAAGGATACACATGCCTTGCACATGCACATTTTATGAGTAAAGGTGTTTTTGTTTGACATCAGCCCTGTTCAAACCTGGAAGTCGTATTGAGTTTTTTCTTCTTCTGCATCATCCGCTGCAATGAATCCCTCAGGAAGAGCTAAAGGATCTCTCTGTCTTCCTAGCATTAGTTCAAGTGTGATGTGACCCTGGAGGTGGAACTTGATGTGTAATTCTCTCAACAATGCAGAAGAAAAGATGCAAAATATACCTGCACCTTAGACACAGAGCCAAGGAGAGAAATCTGGGCACTCACAACATCCTGACACTTCATGTCTCCCTCCCTGTTTTGAGGTTTACTTCTGCTAGACCTGAATCTTTGTTCCCAGGCAGGCACACTTAAATCCACTTGGGATATTCCTCTCATCTTGCTCTTGTTTTGCAGCTGCTGGTTCCCCAGCCTGGCTCTGTGAAGCCTCTCCCAAAATTGACACTTATTCTGCTGCAACAAGGTTGTTTGAAATAGAGCTCATGAGCAATGGTGGAAGCACTCGGGCAACAATGCTTCTTGCACACAAGGGCAGCACGCAGCACAAGCTAACACATACTTTTAAAGACCTTCTTTCTGAAGGCTTTGTGCATGGGACTGTCTTAAGATAGTCTGCTACACAGAGAAGTGTAACACTGCAAAATTGGTTTAAGACTCTTACACCTCTGTTTTTGCACAGCAGCTTTTTTCCCTGAAGTGCTGTGCAGCTTTTTACTGTGCTATAAACAGTAGGTTATGCTTAAAAAAGGAAAGAGGAGGGTCTCTCTGAAGCTTAACTAACATACAAGGAAACAGTAAGAACAACAGATGTTTCAATCCCTAACATAAGGCTTGCATGTCGCCTTCCTGTTCCATGGTGAATACCTGCCAGGGATGCAGTTTTACACTTACTGAAAGAAAACACTACTTAACATCACCTAAGCTGCATCTTCAAGATGAAAACTGTAACTGCCTTGCTATGAGCCTCACTTGACCTACATTTTCTTTGCTGCTTGTTGCATTTTACAAGCATAAACATAGTGAAATGTTTTGTTATGAAAAGAGCCCTGCCTTACCGAGTAGGTTCTGCTTTTTCCATGTAACCAGAGTCATCTCTTAACCAGTCTGGCAATAAAAATAAGTTCTTTACAGTCTTGCCAACTCTCAAAGGCACATACCACGAGTCTCATGATACTTCATGCCATCTTAGAGTCATGGGCCTTGTAGTCCTATAAATATACAACCAAATCCCAGCTTCTATTTACAAAAAAGATATAAAAAATGCCTGCACTTTGTGATTTCTATGGCCTAAAAAGGCAGAAGGTACATGAAGTGAACTCAAATGAACCCTCTTTAAAATATCAAATGAACACTTTCAAATCACATTTTAAGAACAGCCTTGAGATTTTGGAGGTCTGGCCCAGGATTTCTTAATACTTGGCATTAGCAATAACCATTTAGTTAACTTCTAATCTTTGTGTCAAACTTAAGAGCTGGATGTTGCAGCTTGGCAGTTCATGGCTCATGCTAAACCTGTTGTAATTGTTTATATGTAAAAAACGATTATGACTGCTAACATCCTGATTCTTGTTTAAGTTGTGGCTTCTTTTGACTACCAGAGCTATACACAGGAGCTTCCACATAAATGAAAATCAGGCCCTGCCTTTTTATAAATAATAGCTAGTTTGTTCCCCCGTGAAAGTTAACCCCATGTTGTCCTATCATGTTTTTACAGTCTCTTTTCAAGCTGTACCACTTTTCAGACTCCAGTGTGAATTTGTCAGCAGTAGCACAGAATAAGATGATCTAGCACGAGGGGAAAACCTAAGCGAGTAACTTGATCATTGAGCCTTTGAAGAGACTTTTCTGCATAACATCATAAGGCAGTAAGCAAGTAAGGCTTCCAACAATTTCCACATCTGCAAAAGATTTAAAACTTTGGTTGTAGCAACAAATGCACTCACACACGCCATTAGTGCACACATCTCACTCAGAAATGGCTTGATTTCATCTCCCCCCCAGCCGAAAACTCAGCCGTAATAAAGACCAGGGTTATAACACCTATAAGTTCAGCTGCATCTACAGGTCTCTGTGGATGTTCAGCGCTGCACTGAGGCAGTGCAGGAACTGAGTCTCACCACTGACTCATGCCTCTCCAGAGGAACCTGCAAAAGGAATTTTGGCTTCTCAAAATAAAAACAAACGTAATTTGAGGATTCAGCTCCTGCTTAGAAAGTTAGAGCAGTCAGTGAGGCTGTACATACAGAGATGTTTTTCCTGGAACCCCCCCCAATGCCTGAGGATCTCTTTGCAGTCAGAGAAGCAGGCTGTTGGCAAACCAGTGGACCACAGTGCTCAGCCATGGCTGCGCAATTAAAAAAATATTAACCTCATCATCTGAGTATGTGTTTTCCAAGCTTGCCCAGTTTTGCTCACAGTTGCTTTGTGTCACTACAAAAGCACAGAGCCACTAATTTCCACCTCAGCTGACCTAGGATCATGGTTGAATTATTTAGTTCAGCACCTACACACAGTACATAGCTGAGGCAATTCATAGGGTTGCATCTGGAGGGGTTTGCTTTCCCTCACGCTTTTAGATGATTCGGTGTTGCTGGATGAGAAGGTCACTTGCTGGACCACCTTTTTCTAACCAGCCCACCTGCTGAGCATGGCAGCAAAACTTTTTCTTTGTGGAGGTAATTGGACTTGAAGAAAATATTCACACTCGCCGACTCTGTTCTAAAATATTTTAGGAATATTTTGCATCAAGGTGGCATCATATTTTTATTTGCTTTATCGGTTAATTTGAATACCAGCAATAACACAGTGACAAAACAACTGACAGACTATAAGGAATAGCATCACAACCCCCACCCTCATTGGTTATGGCTACACAAGTCAAGTTAATTTTTTGAGAACACCATGAGCCTCAAGAGCTAAATTATATGTAATTCAGCTATCTAAAATGCTGATTCAGAGAGTTTTAGTGTCCAGGTGGTACTGAAAATGCCAATAGGCATCTAGATGGGTCTTCTGCATCCCTGGCACACTAAAAACCTAGCCTAATGATACCTTTACAGGAAATCAAAATGATATGATTGTTGTGATCTGGAATCTCTGATTTTATAGAAAATTCAGAGTTAATCTCCCCCAGTTTGCATCTTGGCAACCTTTCCATGTTTTTCTCCTCCTCCCTTTTAAGTTCATCATGCTCATCATTTCCTCCTTACAAGTGGGTTATCATGGACTTCTCCGGCACCTCCTACATAGCTTCAGCTTTTTAAGTTGCATTATTATGAAATGAAGATGTAAAGAAAGAGAACAAGAATACCAGGCACCAGATGCTTATTAAATGTGAGGCTCCTTTATAAGAGTCACAGGGTGTAAAAAGGCCGTAAAGTGTGCCACTGTGAATTCTGTTTATATTTACTCGCTGTCACACTCCGTGTTACTGAAGCCATGCAATAAGGCTGGAGTGCAAATGCGAATCAGTCCCCTGGCTTGTATTAAGTAAGTCTCCTTAAAATAAACTTTAGCCTGTAATTGCACGTAGAAAGGAAACTTATCTTCTGGAACATAAAAAAAAGAAAATGACTGCAAAACACAAGATAGCCAACCTGGGAGCAGAAATGAAGCCCCACAGTGCACTAGGAGCTGAAAACACGATGCTGGTGAATCAGCTTATTAGTGGTTCTTAATCGCATTAAAGAGACACCATCAACAGGAAAAGAATTAAGAATGACACCTACCTGCCTGTCTTAAAAGTATTAATACTACAAAAAGTGCCTCAAGTAGTTACGCCAAAAAAAGACAGAAGAAAACACTGCCTCTAGTTTTCCACTGTTTATGTTTTGCATTTGACAGCAGTTGGCCCTTTTGCTCAGTTTTACTACTGGTGGCTTTGGGCGGGGAGTCCTTCCCACAGCAACCCTGGAATGAAAATATTTGCCAAAAAGAAAAGGGAAAATGTGGTTGCAAACCCACAAAAATTGGCCAGTGTTGGAAGCATGGGAATAGGGCCTGAAACTGCTTAAGCTTTTTTTAAAAGAAGTTGACTAGATCTTGTTTTGAAAGAGTTCGCTCGATTATTGAGCAGCATGTAAAGAAACAATACACATCTAAGAAAAATAATGAGCTTTCTTGGCAATTTCCAGTATCATTAGCATCCAATCACAGCTTTAGCCTAGTCCTGCATTGGACTCGTACATATCCCTGCTTAAGGGTCCAGTAGGCATGGCCCCTTCCGAGCACAGGCATCTCCAGAAGGGAATGAGTGCTGGGGTTTGACGGGCTCCTCGGTGCTGGGAGATGGGTGTGCAGGGCTGGTCCCACTGTGGACCAGGAGAATCCACACCCAGAGATGCTCCACTGCCACGGCCAGGACAGCGGCTGAAGGTCTCACGTATCCCTGGACAGATGCATACCTAAACTCCAGATAACTTCTTTCATAATTCAGCATGACCATCTGCCCAACACAATAAATAAATGTCCTGCTCGCCGGGATTTGTGGTCCTGAAGAAGTCGTTTCACTGTTCTTTGTTTCCACGAACTCATCTGTGAAAGGGGTTCATACTGCACTTACCTGTTGGAAAGGGATTTAATTGTCAAGCAGCTCTAGGGATGAAAGTTGCTCCGGCAAGGGAAGGACCTACAACATTCCTACAATAATGGTCTGCACTAGGAGCTAGGTTTTTTTTTTAAATAAAATAAAACCCTTTCATTGCAGTTAACTGGAGTTTTGCAGGTTACAAACCCCGTGGCGAGGTGCCGCTTTTCGGTTAACTCTTCTCGCACTGCTGCTCAGCACCGGGAGGGCTGGGGGGGGGACACACCACCCCCCCAGCCCCCCAATCCCAAAGCCAGGGGTTGTTTTCCCGGTGCCACTCCTGCACAAACTTGCCGCCGAACTCCGCGAGGGACGGGGAGGGGAGCCGGCGGCGGCGCCGGGCCGGCACCTGCCCGCGTCCCCCAGCCCC